CTCTGCAGAAGAAAAGACATACTTTATTATTGCCTCTAAATCCAGCCATCATTTTCCTCAAAGAGTTCTTGAGCTCCTGGTTCCTGAGGCTGTAGATGAGGGGGTTCAGTGCTGGAGGCACCACCGAGTACAGAAGTGATGGTGCCAGATCCAGGGATGGGGAGGAGATAGAGGGGGGCTTCAGGTGGGAAAACATGCCAGTGCTGAGGAACAGGGAGACCACGGCCAGGTGAGGGAGGCACGTGGAAAGGGCTTTGTGCCGTCCCTGCTCAGAGGGGATCCTCAGCACAGCCCTGAAGATCTGCACATAGGAGAAAACAATGAAAACAAAACAACCAAACCCTAAACAGCAACTAACCACAAGAAGCCAAACTTCCCTGAGGTTGGAGAGTGAGCAGGAGAGCTTGAGGATGTGTGGGATTTCACAGAAGAACTGGCCCAGGGCATTGCCCTGGCACAGGGGCAGGGAAAATGTATTGGCTGTGTGCAGCAGAGAATAGACAAACCCAGTGGCCCAGGCAGCTGCTGCCATGTGGGCACAAGCTCTGCTGCCCAGGAGGGTCCCGTAGTGCAGGGGTTTGCAGATGGCAACGTAGCGGTCGTAGCACATGATGGTGAGGAGGGAAACCTCTGCTGACATAAAAAAGGTAAAGAAAAAGAGCTGTGCAGTACATCCATGGTAGGAGATGGTTGTGGTGTCCCAGAGGGAATTGTGCATGGCTTTGGGGACAGTGGTGCAGATGCAGCCCAGGTCTGTGAGGGAGAGGTTGAGCAGGAAGAAGCCCATGGGGGTGTGCAGGTGGTGGTCGCAGGCTACGGCGCTGAGGATGAGGCCGTTGGCCAGGAGGGCAGCCAGAGAGATGCCCAGGAAGAGCCAGAAGTGCAGGAGCTGCAGCTCCCACCTGTCTGCGAATGCCAGGAGGAGAAAGTGGGTGAGGGAGCTGCTGTTGGACATTCGTTACCTCTAGATGTGGGGCCCTGTTCAAGGAGGAAATAACAGTGAAAATTTAGGGCACAACATCCTGAGAAAAATCAAAGCTGCTTTCCAACACCCCTCTCACTGCTCCATTGGTTTTCCTTTTCGGGGAGTCTCTCCTTCAGCTCCATGGCTGGAGCCCCTGGTGGGGCTCACTACATCTTCCAGGAGGAGCAGACCCTCTGCCCACTGGCTGTGAGGGCTCAGCCCTGCTCTGCACCGGTGGGGTCATGGGCATGGTGGGCACAGGGGCCGGTCCTGTGTTCAGCTCTGTCAGATGAAACTGCTCCCTATGCAAAAGGGCTTGTCAGCATCTGCACTCCCAGAAGAACCAAGAGAGCAGAAGGCAGTTTCAGAAGTTTGGGTTTGTTTTTTTTTTAGACTCCCCTCATCTCTCCTGAGGAGTGTTCCTGAATGGCAGAACCCCTCAGGACTTCTGATGCACTCAGGGAGAACAAAGGAGGTCCTGCCAGGCAGGAAGATTGTCTAGGGCTTAGTGCAGAGTGGGAGGAGCTGGTCTGTCCATCTCTTGTTCCCAACTGCCCTGGCTTTGCTCCTTCCTGAGATGGAGATTGATCACACTCCCATTTGGGTCTGAAAAGCCACCAGACACTGTTGAGAGCAGAGGGATCCATCCCACACCCCTCAAGGTCTCAGCCTGTCTCAAGGGCTCAGCACCCCACTTGGAGCCAAGGACACCCATGGCTCATCTCCCCAACCCAACAGCATCTCCTGGCATGGGCACAGCATCTCTGCCCCTCTCCACTGGGGCTTTCAGAGAACACAGCTGTGCTGGGAGGATGGTTTGCATTCTCGAGGGCAGCTCCCAGCTTGGAAGGACACCTCAGAAAAGAGCCAAGTGTCCTAATGACGGGGTCTGATTGAGGGAAAAAGAGCTCCTTACCCAGGCCCACAGACTGCACTGCCCACAGCCCCACAGGGCAGAGGACAAGTGGAATGTCTCATTCCCAGGGACACACCGGCCATAGGGGAATCCCAGGATCAGTGTTGGACTGTGTAGCTTGAACTGCCCTCCCCATGAGACTGACTGAGAGAAGGAGGGAACAACCTCAGGACCAGGGGCAAGCTGAGAACCTTCCCCTGCAAAATATCCTGGGGTGCTCTGGTTCTGGGAACAGCCCTGACCCATGAAACTCTCACTTGATAGCAGAAGAAACATGCCCTGCCCTGCCAGGCTTTGCTCTTTCCACCCCCAGCCTCTGCCCAGCCCTGAGGGAGCTCCCCAGCCCGGCTGAGAGCTGCCCCTGGCAGTGGCAGAGCTCCTGCCCCGGCACAGCCCTGGGCTGCAGGACCCTGCTCTGCAGGACAGCTTGGGGCAGCCTGGGTGGCACAGCCCAGCTTCACAGCCCTGCAGCCATCCCTGGGAGAAGGGAACCCTGCTGGGATGTGCCTGGGATGGTGCAGCAGGAAGTGGGATGTACCAGCGTTAGATCTTTGCACCAACTGCAGACACATTGCCCTTCATGCTGACTCACCGGGAGGAAGCCTGGAAAGATTCCTCCTCCAGTGAATCTTCCTCTCATCTTCCCTCCCAGCCCAGGCTGTGTGTAACCTCTCTCTGCTTTGCTTTTGTGCCCTGGGTGCTGCAGGCAGTGCCCTCAGCCCTGCTGGGCTGTGCAGAGGAGCTGCTCACCAGCAGAGCTGTCTCTTTGAAGCTCTTCTTGCTTGCCAGGAACTCCCTGTGTGCCAGGAGCCCAGCACAGCAACTGCCCCAGGTATTTCATGACCCTCAGGGGGTTTGATGTTGTTTACATGAGACTCAGTCCCTGAGAGTAAGTTCAAACAACTTTTCAAGAAGTCAAAGTGAGATTGAAACACTAAAGTTTCTTGCAGTGCTAATGAGTCTCATTGAAGACACAACTGAGAACGTGTCCCCAGGTTCCAGTTGGAACAGAAAACTGCAGACAGTGATGACAAGGATGGACAAGCAAGGGAAAGGTGGCTCTGATGCTGAATAAACATTTACTTGTTTCCTTAATCCAGCGGGCCAAGCCCTGACCCCAAATCCCTGGGAAGGGACATCCTGTCCCTGCCTCATTCCTCAGGGCTCTTCCTGGGGCACTGGGATGTGGGATGTGCAATGCCAAGGGCAGGACCATGGGGTGACACCTGCCAGGCTGCTGAGCAGGGACAAGGAGGCCATGAGGCCCCAGGGCTGCAAGGGCCACTTGTCTCCTCCTGGCATCAGGGGCACAGACAGCAGCCATGGCCAAAGGCCTGCAGAAGGTGGCTCTGTCAGGGCCTTTCAGCTTCTCCCCATCCCTCTCTCCTCTCCAGCCCAGGCTGTCCTACGGTGTCCATGCCCTGCCCCTTTCCCTGCAGGCTGTCCTCATCCCCCCGGCTGCCCCACCTCGCTGGCACCTTCCTGCACTGACATCTCTGCATCCTCCCTGGCTCTTCCTGCACACACAAAGCCTTGGGATCATCCAGACTCTTTTTGGGTGATGTGTTGCACCACAGCACTGCCCTTGGAGTGAAATTCTTTTTTCTCATGCCAGCCTGGACCTCCCCAGCTGCACTTGGCATTAATTCTTTCTTTCTCCTGCTGTTTTCTGCTACGACAAAAGCATCCACCCTCTCTGAAGCAACTCTTCAAGCACTCCCAGGGTTCTTCTCTGCTGTCCTCTGTCTGCACACCACTGAACCCACGACTCCTTTGCCCCTCTAGAGTGGTCATGTGTTTGAGACCTCAAAACCCCTTCCTGGGACATCTCTGAGCACTCTCCAAGGTGTCTGCAGATGAAAACATGGTCTAAGATAGTCACAGTGATACGTTTTACCAAGGCCTGTAGTGGCAGAACATGGGGCGATGGCTTTGAACTGAAATAGGGGAGCTTTATATTGGATAAAATGAAGAAATACTTACCAATGGGGCTGGCAAGAACTGCAAGAGAAGAGGATGTCCCATCCCTGGATTTGTCCAAGGCCAGGAACTTTGAGCAGCCTCAATTAGTGAAGACGTGACTCTCCATGTCCAGGAGTTTGAACCAGATGACCTTTTAGCTCCCTTCCAAACCAAACCATTCTGTGATTATTTGAGTCCCAAACTCCTTCTCCAAAGAATTTCTGTTGCTAGGACATGAATTACCATGTTTTTGGAGAAGCCATTGTAAACCCAAAAGGTAAAAAATCAATTCAAATAAAGTTCCAACATCTCTGTGTGAAAGTCTCACCAAATGGGTCAATGGCAGAGCCTCCCAGGATGACCTTGCCAGTTGAAGATGGGGGATTCTGTTTGGGGTCTGATACTTATGATGGGCAACAAGAAAGCACATTTGGGAACTGGGCAAGACTTGTGGTGGGATCTCTAGGGAAGAATCAAAGGAAGGGAAATGGTGGGATCACGGTATTTTGTGATGTAATGGGTATGAGAAAAGAGAGAGAAAAGGGGATGGAAAAGCTGGTCATGTTAAACAGGAGGATTCTCAAGACACTTCCCAGGCCATGCCCTGACACTGATCCCCACAGCCTGTTAAGTTTACAACGCACAAGGCGATGATCTGTTTGACATTCTGCACTAGGCATCACTCGGGTATGACGAACATCGCGAACATTTCTCTGTCGCACCAAAACATAGTCAATGAGGTGCCAATGCTTGGATCGAGGGTGCATCCAGGTTATCTTCTATCTATATTATATTATCTAATACTATCTTTATTAAGGGGGTCTTTTCCAAATGAGTCTGGGGGCGTCCTTCATCCTCCTCCTCCTCAATCTCTCCCTCAAGCAACCTTGGAGGACAATTAGCCAATCACAGAACACCAATAAAACAGTTTATACAAGAAGCTCTCTCTCCAAGGACGAGGTACCCGTTTATCAGTGCTTGTTTTCTCAAAACTTGGCAGGGAAAGAACAAAACTTTTCCAGTTGTCCGGGCCAAACACAGACCAAAAGTATCAGCACAAATTCACCCTGATACACATGGCAACCACCATACATTCCCATTGCAATGGTCAGTTACCATGGCAACAATCTTACATTCCCATTGCTACACTCAGTTACCATGGCGACCATCACACTTTCCACTGCCGCAGTCAGTTACCATGGCAATGAGCATATATTCTCAATGCCACGGTCAGGTGCCATTGCAACCACGATACATTCCCATTGCTGTGGTCAGTTACCATGGCAACAATCATATATTCCCATCGCTATGGTCAGTTACAACGGCAACCAGCATACATTCCAATTGTTACCATCAGTCACCATGGTAAATATCATATCTCCCATTGCTATGGTCAGTTACTATGGGAACCGTCGTACTTCCCACTGCTACAGGCAGTTACCATGGCAAACAGCATACATTCCCATTGCTACGGTCAGTTACCATGGCAACCAGCATATATTCCCGTTGCTATGGTCGGTTACCATGGCAACCATCATTGACACGCGTTGCTTCAGTCAGTTACGATGGCAACCATCATACATACCTGTTCCTACAGTCAGTTACCATGGCAACCATCATACATTCCAGTTGCTACGGTTGGTTACCATGGCAACCATCATACATTCCGATTGCTATGGTCGGTTACCATGGCAACCATCATACATTCCTGTTTCTATAGACAGTTACCATGGCAAACCATCATACGTTCCCATTGCTACAGTTTGTTACCATGGCAACCATTATACAGTCCCATTGCTGTGGTCAGATACCATGGCAACCACCACACATTTCTAGCTCTATGGTCGGTTACTATGACAACCTCTTGGTTCCTCTTGGAGACAAGCAGATGCAGATGACTTGGGGCTGCAGCTCCTCCTGCCTGTGCCCCACACGCAGGGCATTGGGGCCTGTCTGGCTGCAGCCCCTCAGCGGGGGCACCGCGGGTAAGAACAGACTTGCAGTGGGGAAAGCTGCTCTGAAAGCCCCGAGAGCTGGGGTGTGCAGAGGCTTTGCTGACAATGGCCTTAGGGGTGGACGTGCTGGGACTCAGGCCCAGGGGGAAAATCACAGGTCTGATCCCTGAGGAGATCAGCACATGCTGTTGAAATGCTAGGGGAGAGAAGAGCCAGCAGAGTGAGGAAACAAGTGTGGACAGCCTGGGCTGATGTGCTTTGGACTCGTGCCTGGCCCGGCCTTGGCTGGGCAGAGAAGGGACAGCCTTTGTGTCCCTGCAGGGCTGGGATTCACTCACTGCCCCAAAGGCACCCAATGGGTCTGAAAAGCCCTGGGTGGTGCCTGTCACACAACTGCTGGGAATGGGGACGGGCTTCCTGCACAGGCCCTGTGCTGTCCATGGCAGCTGCTGCACTTGTGCTGCAGGGCCCTGACACCTCCCCTGGCAATACAGGCCCCTCTTTGGCTATTCAATCCAGGCTCAGCTGCCCTGAATTAGGTTCAGCAGTGAAGGGATGTCCAGGAGACAACTGCCATTGTACTCTGAGGACACGTAGAAAATACCCTGATAAAGAACAGGAGAGAGACCTCTCTCCCTGTGCCACCTTACTCCATTTAGTCACCTGAGCACCTCTGTGAGCTGCCCTGGACAGAAGGAACAGTGACAGGTTCCCCTGTCCTACCTGTGGGCACCTTCTGCCACTGAAGTTGGCCAAAGCAATGTCCCAGCAGCCTCCAAGAAGATCCCACAGCTGCTGCCCTGTCCCTAGGAACTGCTCCATCAGAGCCTGCAGTTCCCAGCAGGAATCTCGGTCACCTCTGGCCCCTCAGAAGAACCAGGGCTTTGTGTCCCAGCAGGTCACTCCTGCCTTTGGTCTTCATTCATTCCCATGGGAGTTAGGACAAGGAGTCACCTGCAGGGGCCTGTTTTGGGCCCACTGAAGTGGGGCAGGACGAATCCCAGCCCATGGGGGTTGTGGAGGGAGCTGAGTGTCCTTCTGGCCCCAGGTCTGCAGAGCCACAATGAGACACCTCTGTTGACTCAGCTGAGTCCCTTCCCTCAGTGCAGGTGAAGGAGATCCCTCCTGGGTACTGTCTGGGTTTCCTGTCTAATGATGGGACATGAAAAGGGGACTCTTGAACTTAACTCTGTGTCTATTTGGAGAAATGACAGTGCTGAAAGAAGGGTCTGTGCCCAGCTGAGAGAAGGAACATCATGATTTCTTTCAGCTGTGTGCCAGCAGGTTCCCCTGGAGCCCCAGGGACAGCTGGAGGGAGCCCAGAGGGGCAGAGCAAGGGCTGCCTGGGGCTGTTGCTGTGCTGCTGAGCTGGGCTGGGCTCCTGGCACACAGGGAGCTCCTGGCAAGCAAGAAGAGCTTCTAAAAGGCAGCTCTGCTGCTGAGAAGCTCCTCTGCACAGCCCAGCAGGGCTGAGGACACTGCCTGCAGCACCCAGGGCACAGGAGAGAAGGCAGAGAGATGAGAGGCAGCCTGGGCTGGGAGGTGACTGAGCTCTCACAACGTGAGAAACCTTCCCAGGATTTGAATGAAGAATTCTCTGGCTTAGGAAAGTTCAACTTGCCTTCCTGGAGGCATCTCCTAAAGCTGGCACATCCCACAGCTTCTAGGATCTTTCAGCAGGACTCTCCCAGTTGCTGCAGTGCAGAGGAAGTGGCCATATGGCAGAGCAGGGCAGGAGCTGCAGGCAGCAAGGGCAGAGAGGAGAAGGGAGCAGGAGGTTGAAGGGATCCTGGGGTGGGAGGACAGGGGAGAGCTGCTCAGGGCAGGAACCTTGCCAGCCCTTTGCCACGCTCAGGCTCTGGCTGCAGAGCAGTGCAGGTGAGTTCCTGCAAATGCCTCTCCCAGCTGCCAAATGGCACCAGTGGCAGGAGCTGTCAGGATGGCTCTGCTGGATTTGCTGGGGTGCAGCAGGAGAAGCTGCTGCAGAGCAGGACTTGCTGCTGCCCCCTCAGAGGCCCAGGGCAAGAAGGTTCCCTGTGCCAGGGCTGGCTGTGGGCTGGGAAGGTGGGGGTGCAGCCAGGGGTGCCCAGGGTTGTGGTGCAGAGCAGGGTCCTGCCCCCAGGGCTCTGTGTGCTGGGGCAGGGACTCTGCTGCCTGCCAGGGGCAGCTCTCAGCCCAGCCAAGGAGCTGCCACAGGGCTGGGGGAGAAGGGCTCTGGGGGAGGAACAGCTCCTGGGAGGGCAGAGCAGGGCAGAATCCTTCTGATCTCCAAAGTGTACTGCAGGGATGAGGGCTGGTCACAGCTCCAGATCAAAGCAGGAAATTTCCCAGAAGGTATTTGCAAGAGGCACAGACAGACGGGATACCTTAAAGAGAATGAACCAGTTCTTTCAGTGTTATACTCTGGGTTGTCTGGGTGCTGACTGTGAAAGGGAAATCAATCTCTGAGCGCAGGAGGTGACACTGAAACTTGGACTCTGTTAGATTAGAGGAGATTGAACCTGAGAGTGTCAGACATCAAAACTGTCTGATAGACAGCATCAGTGTCACTTTCTCAGCCCTGGACCCAGGGAAGCAGCTGCTGGCAGGGACAGCTCCAGGCAGCAGAGCCCTAGGCAGGGAGTGGGGGTAAAGTGCCCCCAACGCCTGGGGGAGGGGGCATTCAGGCAGCTCTAGGGGGCTTTCCCTGCAGCTCTGCTGGGCACTGTGTGCTGGGCCATAGAAATGAGGATTCCTGCAGTGGAAAAGAACCTTCCCCAGATGTGATGGTAAAAATAGAAAACACAGCCAAAATTATTCTAAGCTCAGACTAAGCTTCTGCTCTGCAGCCCCAGCTCTTCTGAGTCAGGGGTGTAGAGATGGAACTTTTGTATTCAAGGTCCCTTACATCTGACATTCCTTGTGTGTGTGAGAGCTCTACCAAAAAAGTTCCATGTTTCATTGAGCAGAGCAAAACTGATTCCTTGGCAGTGCATTTAGTGACATTTGACACATCGATTTCTTTTAAAAATGGAGTTGCTTTTTCACAGAAGTCTGTCTTAACTGTTCCCTGTCCTTTCCTTTTTTGAACAGATGCTGTGCTAAGAATCAGCAAACGCCCAACAGCAGCTCCCTCACCCAGTTCCTCCTCCTGGCATTCGCAGACAGGCGGGAGCTGCAGCTCCTGCACTTCTGGCTCTTCCTGGGCATCTCTCTGGCTGCCCTCCTGGCCAACGGCCTCATCCTCAGCGCCGTAGCCTGTGACCACCACCTGCACACCCCCATGGGCTTCTTCCTGCTCAACCTCTCCCTCACAGACCTGGGCTGCATCTGCACCACTGTCCCCAAAGCCATGCACAATTCCCTCTGTGTCACCACAACCATCTCCTACCAGGGATGTGCTGCACAGCTTTTTTTCTTTTATTTCTTCATCACAGCAGAGTATTTCCTCCTCACCGTCATGTGCTACGACCGCTACGTTGCCATCTGCAAACCCCTGCACTACGGGACCCTCCTGGGCAACAGAGTTTGTGCCCACATGGCAGCAGCTGCCTGGGCCACTGACTTTCTCTATTCTCTGCTGCACACAGCCAATATATTTTCCTTGCCCCTGTGCCAGGGCAATGCCCTGGGCCAGTTCTTCTGTGAAATCTCCCACATCCTGAAGCTCTCCTGCTCATACTCAGGCTACCTCAGGGAAATTTGGCTCATTAGGGTTAGTGTCTGTTTAGTGTTTGGTTGTTTTGTTTTCATTGTTTTCTCCTATGTGCAGATCTTCAGGGCTGTGCTGAGGATCCCCTCTGAGCAGGGACGGCACAAAGCCTTTTCCACGTGCCTCCCTCACCTGGCCGTGGTCTCAATCTTTGTCAGCACTTCGTTTTTTTCTCACCTGAAGCCCCCCTCCATCTCCTCCCCATCCCTGGACCTTGTGGTGTCAGTTCTATACTCTGTGGTGCCTCCAGCAGTGAACCCCCTCATCTACAGCCTGAGGAACCAGGAGCTCAAGGATGCCCTGAGGACAATAATGACTGGATGTTTTTCAGCAACAATAAGCTCTGTGTTTTCTTCTGTGCAGCATTTAAAATGTAACTCATGACAGGCCCAGCCTGCCTTCTCAACTCCTTAGTGGTGGTCACTGGGTTCCTCTTCTCATAATTTTATGCTCAATGAAATTTTATTATTCATCCCCCACCTCATTCACTGCTTACCTCTTGAATTTGATCTAGAAACTCTGCAAATGATGGACTATATATTCATCTATTTCTGTGTTTTAAACAAAATAAACTACCATTCAGTGCCTTGTTTATCTAGGATCCTAACTCTGAGAACAGCGTGAAGTTATGGGGAGGAAAAAGTCCCAGCACAGCAGCACTGCCGGGGAGCACCAGCACTTTGTCTTGTCTGTCGCGACGCGGGAAGAAAGAGATGCTCAATATGAGAATCAGCAAACTTCAATTTATTATTTAAATAAGTTAACTTTTATACAGTTTAGTTTGTTTTGGGCACATGCTTACAACAAGGTGATTGGATAGCTCAGTCTGTACACGCGTCTCGTGTCTCCAGTTCATTGGACCTGATGTTCTGTCCATGCGATCTGAAGTCATATTTGGCATGTAGAGGCCTTCATAATTAGGGACTTTCTGTAATTTGCAGGTGTACCTTTATCTCTAGTTTCTCAAGGCTTTCTTACTATAAACATACTATGTTCTGAAACCTTATAACTAGACACACAGCTAACAAGTATAAACATTGCATATTTTCACACAGTCTATAAGCATAAACATTACAGCTTACAGCTTCTAGTCATGTCAAGCAAGGCCTACAGAAATGCAATGGAAATTGTCCACATAATTTGAATCCTACCACAAATGCCCCCTTTTTTAAGTTTTGAACAATTTAAATTGCATTTCTGTAACATTTCTTATTGTACTCATAATATTTCAATAAACACATCTACATACAATTATATCACTATCATCAACAAACTTAACAACCTATTAACTTCAGGGTTTGTGTTCTTTAACTTTTACTGAAAGGTGCTACTAAATATAGGATTTAGTCTTAAAATTTTATTTAACTTAAAAACACTTCTGGAAATGGAACTCTATTTAATTATGGGTTATGTGTCTTCTGTTTATTCAAAAGGTGTTTGTGTATTTGTTTATCCAAAGGTGTTTGTGTAATTGTGTTCACATATTCACACTCATGCATGCATACACTTTCATTCATTTACATTTACATGGTGGCCACCATCATACACACTGTCACACAGACATACTTTTGAGTTCCATGTCACTGCGTTCTATAAATCAAGAAATTATAATAATTTTTTAGTACCTTATAATGATAATAATTTTCTAATACTTTATAATGTTAGAGTTTCTTAATCAAATAGATAAAACTAACCAGATAAATAAACTTTCTTTTACCAATGCTTAGTGAGTAATTCAAAGGTCACACAACACATTATACTTAAATTCCTGAAAATTATGTGCTTTAAAAATACTAAAAATTTGTGCTCAATAAACTGTGTTCTAATAATATTAAGACAACTGTTATCTACAACTGTTTCTGGTGGTGTCACAGTCACCTGCAGGAATAACATCAACCTTGTTCTGAAGAACCAGCTTCTTTTCAAGGCCTCATCCATCATGTAGATAGCTAGAGAACACCTGTGTGCAAAAAACTTAACACATGAAAACATTTTTGCAAGTCAACTAAGGGGTTGACATTTTTTTCTCTACCAAATACCTTTGTGATAACAACAGAATTCTATAACAGTTTCATTTTATAACACAGTATGTATAGACTATCCATATTTTCTAACAATTTTGATAAAATTATAGGCTAACATGTCTCTAGGTCAGGATGGATATTAATTGCATAATGCAACTGATTAATAAATTTCCAAATGGTTCCGTTGATCTCTGTCATACTGTAGAAAAAGACGGAGCTGTCTTATCATCTGTCCTGGTTAGAACGGCTGGGACCAATTCATCCCTGGATGGGTGTAACCCAAAACTGTGTATTCTATAGCCTCCATGCCATTTCCCAAAAACTGCTATCAGTAGAGGCCTGCAAGGTGGGAAGATGTTCCTGTACCCTTTTATGGAATTCCCCGCTCTGATATCCTTATATGGAATTCCCCGCTCTGATACCCTTATATGGAAGAGGGACTGAGCATCCGCATGCCCTTTTATGGAATTCCCTACTCTGAGGGAGGGACTGAGCACTCCCGCCTGAACTGGAGAGTATATAACTGGGAGTTTCAGAGCCTTGCGGCTCTCTCGTGGGATCCAGAGGAAGACTCCAGACCACTGCCTTCAACTAGACTGAGACCACCACCCTCGACTGGACTGCAATCATCACTTCTGACCAGACTGCAGCAGCTCTCCCACCAGCAGGTTTATCCCCTCTCCCTTTGCTTTGGACTCGGGGGTGGGCCAAGGTACACCACTCTTGTTCATACCCTAGGGTGCTGGGTTGTACATTTGGGTTTTGTGGGTTAAAACCAATTGTCTGTCTGTATAATTGTACTTATTGCATTATTTTAATAAATTGTTATTCTGACTTATAAATCTCTCTTTTGAATTGAGTTCATTTTCCCTTGCTGGTTAACTTTTAAACCAGCACATCATCACGTATTGCTTGTATTGTTTTTCTGATCACAACCTACAGTTGTGCTATAAAAGCTGTTGCAGCTGAAAAGTACAGATTATTAATAAGTATAAAGTAAAATATATAGGTGAAAAGAAAAGAATTCCTATAGATCATTTAGGCTTTCAGTCAAATGGGATTTGTAAAACAAAAGTAATATATCAATATTCACTTTGAAATGCATAATAAAGCTCTAAGATTTTAACTGATTTTAACAGTAAAACAATAGGTTTTGTCAAAGCTGAGGAATCATCTATCGAAAGAAGGAAACCACAAGATTGAAGAAATGATAACAATTATATCTGATTACACCAAAGGAAGTCTTTTCTACAAACTTAATTACTCTCAGTGACTCTAAAATTTCAATAAATCCCAATTCAAGATGTGATACATAGTATAAAGGTTAAGATGACATAATTATTTTTATATTCTTTCTTGGGTAGAATATGGTATGTTTTTGAAATGTTCATTTTACTCTCACAACTGCTATAAGGGGAGAGGACTCTACATAGTACCTCATAATTTGCATCTTGATTGAATTGAAGGAATATTATATCAAATATGAATCAATTAGCCTGTACAATACGTTATCATGAGATCATCTGCTCAACAGTGTTAACACTGAAAAAGAATTTCTGAATATTTACATTAGGTATATTAAAAGAAGTTTCACAGTAGTAGTCACTAAAAGAAAATAAAACAGTTATTAGAATTCATGCAGTACATTGTAAATAATTCTGTTAAAGAGATTTATGTCCCCTCACACTGAGTAGAACGTAACCTTTAGAGATTTATGCTGGATGTCTGCAGTGTGACATGCACTTCAACCTGCAAGAATTGTTTTAGCTGTGGAAAATTAGCAAATTACAACATTACTCGTCCTTATAGTTTTTTCAAAACTTTCTAAATCGTGGAGAAGTTAAACCAATGTCTGAGTTGCATGAGTAATGTGTGGTTGGTAGCAACACATGATTTTTGTTTATAGTTGTTACCTAGAAAAATGAATAGATAAGTCACTATTACAATCTGCTAATATAGTTTGAAATTCAGTGTCTTCTGTGAGAAGTCAGTCTAAGTTGTCTCTGATGTCTGGGATGTTGTTAACTCTCAGCCCTTGTTTATTTGCTTCTTTTAGTCGTTCTTCACCTTTTAAAAAAAAAAAAAACTTCACAAATTTGTTATTAATAGTTCAGTCAGTTTTAAGTGGGTATCATAGGTAATTTTACAGTTTTTCTTTGAAGCTGAAGGCTTAGTGATGAGTCTTTGCAGTGTAATTCTTTCTGTCGGAAATAGGTTCCATGGCTTGGTTCTTTTTAACTTTTCTTGGAGCATTCTTCAATCCTACTTCTCAAATAACATTGGTTAGAACAATCACATTTAGTTTTAACTCATCTTTTTAGGTCTCTAACTTTTGTATTTTCTTTTACTTGTTTTTATCATTTTGAGTAGCATTTTATGATGTACTGTAGAATCACTGTAACTTCGATAAAAGCAAGTAATAATTTTCATCAGGAAGAAACAATTGACTGTTTAAAATCTCAGCATATGGAAATCTTTCAGAGGATGGGATTACTAATATTGATAAGAATTTTAGTTGCATAATTGGATTAAATATAGTTTTGCATCTTTTACTTTTCTATTATCAAGCCACACATGGCCTGGGATTTGAGAGCAGATCCCTGTCTCTCCGAATGTAAAAATGAAACTGGAGAACAGTTACGTCTTTTCTTTAAAATTGAAGTAATCTCACCCAGCTTCTGAAACTATATAATCAGCTAGGATTTATAAACAGCCAATTCTGAATTTTTCTGATATTTATATATTTTTCTGGGATATACATGAAAACTTTAAACATCTTATTTAAATACAATAGGTGTAACAGTTTAACTTACATTAATGTATGTAAGAAGTTAATATTTATATAAAGTAGCTTTCAATTTTAGCAATTTACATAAAGTCACAGTAAAACTCACTCAGGTTGCTCTTAAACTAGAGCTTTGCTCATAAGAGTATATCAGGGGATCTAAGGGACACACTTCTGCTGCTTAGTACAGAGATTAGGATAGATGCAGTTTAAACTTGAAATGCTGTCTGTTGTTAAGCAATTTCTTGTATTATATTTTTAGATTTTATATCTATTATCACAAAGGTGGAAACTTCCAGTTAGAAACAATTTATTTATTTTTCCTTTTTTCTCTGGCAAAAACTGCCTCTGTCAAATAAGATATTTTTGAGTTAGGTGTTCTACCAAATAAGTCTACCTTAAAGTTTCCTTAACAATTTCAAAACACCTATCTGTAAAACACAGAAGTTACAAAAAATCTTTACAGAGCTGTTTGAGCAGGGGGGGGAAGAGGGAAGATAGAGCAGCTGTAGTAGCTCTGTTGGAAAAAATCACTCCCCCACATGCCTTAGAATTTTCTTATCATAGGACTTTAGAAACTCTATTTCTCGGTTACCTTTATATATTTTTAAAACAATTTTGGTTATTTTAATGAATAACTTCAGAAAACAATTAGTAAGACTATGTAATGAAATTGTAAAAACAATTTCTCTCTCCAATCAGAAGGTTACAAAGTTATAATTTTAAAAAGTAGGAGCTTTTCACTTCTGCTTAGTTGCTACGCAACAGACCGTCTTATCAGGTGAAATATATTCTGTTTCTCTCTCTGACAAGAGAAGGCTTTTAACCCCTTCCTTTTCCCTCCTCTCCTGGCAAAGAATTCCATTTCTTCACACGCACACAGTAACAATAATATTGTGAGCTCACAAAAACACATTTGACAAACACTACAATTAACACAAGAACCAACAAAAACATGTTTTCCGTGGCAGGAATCGTCGTCTTTAGGTTTCTACGATACTAAACTTAATCTGGTGGAAAAACTGTTTTTTCTGCAGCAGTGGCAATGGAGAGGGACTCCTTTCTTCTTTTCTCTCTGGGAGTGAATTGTTAGATTTTTCTGCATTTTCTGGCTTGGAGGTCTTATAGGGAGATAGGGTGATATTTGTAGGATATTTACGACTCGGCTTACTGTCAGTTTTCGCTGTTAGTTAAGTCTTTGTTCTGCAAATGGCCTGGACTGCTGCCAGCTATATCTCCGTCTGAACTTTTCAAGGATTTTGAGCTCCTTTCCTTGGAATTTGGAGCACTCCGTACTGTAGCTGACTTAGTTTCATTTTCTCCTCTCCTGTTTTTGTTTGCCACTTCTTTAAAGCAAACAGCAAATGCCAGGTAACTGTTAGATCTTTCGCATCTTTCGATCTCTCAGATATTTTATTCCAGAGCTTATCATCAACTTTGTTTTATGCAGATATACTGAGCGCAGTATTAGATGTGGCTTCAAAGCCCCACTTTCTACATCACAGCAACACGCTGCAGAGTAAAATCAGTGACCTTCACATTCTTTCGGTTAAGGAGGAATTTCTACGTAGATAGAACTACATTTTCCTCCTTCGTTATATGCTGTCCCATTGTTAAAGTATTGTTCCCGGAGGCACCCCCGTTAGCTTACCTACTGAGGGTCAAAGAGTTCTGATCCATATTGTTCGCTGATGTTTACTACTCCGCCGACTCGGCGGCGGGTCCCTCAGGACTGCTCTCGGTGGGGGGGCTCTTGCCGCGCCGTCTCCTCCACGGGGGCCGCTTCTTGCTCGCCGCTGCCCGCCTCGCTCGTGCCGGTGCCTGCCGCCTCCTGCCTCCTCCTTCACCCCGGCCGCGCACAGCTCCTCGACTTACCCCCGTTGCTAGTTCCTTTTTTAAGTCTATATCCTAAACTCCTCGCTTTTCTAAAAAGCACTGGAGTAATAAAAGCACCACTTGCCTCTCCATACCTATAACATGTTAGCGTGCTGTGTGCAGCCCTTTTATGAGACTTCGGCGGTGTCTGTCGGCAGGGACCCTCCGATGAGGTCGCCCTGGGCCGGAGTCCAACTCTTTCGTTGCCGGCAGTGCGGAGTCCAACTCTTTCGCTGACCGGGGGCGCGGAGTTTAACTCTTTCACCCAACTCTTTGCCTTCTTGTGCTGCAGCAAGACCGACCAGGTACTACGTCTGACCGTGGCTTCAGGGGCCGCAGATTCAACTATAGCCCTTGGGATCACAGATTCAACTTAATCCCTGGGATCGCAGATTTAACTTAATTCCTGTTCGATGCGCCATTATGTCGCGACGCGGGAAGAAAGAGATGCTCAATATGAGAATCAGCAAACTTCAATTTATTATTTAAATAAGTTAACTTTTATACAATTTAGTTTGTTTTGGGCACATGCTTACAACAAGGTGATTGGATAGCTCAGTCTGTACACGCGTCTCATGTCTCCAGTTCATTGGACCTGATGTTCTGTCCATGCGATCTGAAGTCATATTTGGCATGTAGAGGCCTTCATAATTAGGGACTTTCTGAAATTTGCAGGTGTACCTTTATCTCTAGTTTCTCAAGGCTTTCTTACTATAAACATACTATGTTCTGAAACCTTATAACTAGACACACAGCTAACAAGTATAAACATTGCATATTTTCACACAGTCTATAAGCATAAACATTACAGCTTACAGCTTCTAGTCATGTCAAGCAAGGCCTACAGAAATGCAATGGAAATTGTCCACATAATTTGAATCCTACCAC